CTCGGCGCGGACCGAGGCACCTGCGTGCCGGGTGGGCGGTGCCTGCGGGGCTCGGCCGCGCTGTGGGTGGCACCCCGTGTCCCCAACTCCAACCTTTGGTCGCGCGCGTGGCCTGGTGGCGGTTCCAAGCAGGAGGCTCCCCAGAAGACTCTATGGCCCGGTCTGTATCTTGCCGCCGATGTGAGTTCGAAGCCCAGTCCTCCGAGAGAGCCGGCGTACGGGGAACCTTTCACAACGCGACGTGCGCCAGCGTCTTTTTGTCCTGGGCATCTGAGTTCAGCCCTGTGTTTTTCCCCTTGTGGGTTTGTTGTGTCAAGTCCTTCAGCGCCTGGCACACAGTAGGCGCAGAGCAAATATTTGTTGGAAGCATGAGTCACCAAACCACGTTTGAAAAGTTTTACTGAGCTGCGCTGTGTCTCTTTGAAAGTTCAAGTTGAGCAGAACTAGCTTGCGTTCCGGTGACCGTGGCTCTGTTGGATGCTTACGTTGACCACAGAGCCCGACTTCTGAGCAGCGATTCACTTTCTGGTGTCGCTTTTGGGGGTTCCTCTGTCAGATGAAAGCCTGGCGACAAACCACTCTACTGTGCGGGACAACTGTAATACGGCCTTGGAAATTAAAGCAAGGGCAGGCGATCTGCCCTCTAAAGGTTTGCCGCCTCGGTATGCCAAGCCAGGAATTGGGTCGCGGTGAGTAGGAATCGACTCATGGTAGTGGGTTTGCCGTCCGTGGCGCAGTGGCAGGCAGTGAGGCTGGCGGTTTGAACCCACCAATCACTCTGAGGGAGAAAGCTGTCGTATTCCACTTCCCTCAAGATTGGCGGAGAAACACTGGACTGTTTTACCTTGGCCTGTGTGGTTATTTTAAGCCAGTGAGTTTGGATGTTATAGTTAGCTTTTTAGACACACACTGCCCTACTCATGAATACATGGAGAAATCGTGCGGGTTTTTTTTAATGGAGAAAAATAACGGTGAGTCCCAGTGCAGCAGTGTCTGACCAGGGGCAGCCATTGCCTTGACCTTAAACTGGCTTGTGAAATTATCCCTTGGTTGTCTGACATAGCTGATGCAAAAACCCCTGGGATTAAATGATCCCAGTGGAGCAAGCCCTTTAGTGCAAGCAAGGCTTACATGTTGTGTCTTTTTTTCCCCCCGGAAAAACAGATAATGTAGTGATGTTTTCATTTTTTTCTTGTTTAAGAAAGAGCCAAGTGATAACCAGAAAATTCAGTGAATAGTGAGCGACATCCCTGCCTTCTTGGTGGAAAGGTAAGCTACCAGAAGGGGGGCCTCAGCCTGTCCTGATCACCAGTCAGGGCCCATCGTGCCCAGCACAGTGCCAGGTCTGTCAGGAGCTCAGGAAACACCTGTGGAGTGAATACAGATAAAATGTGATGACTCTCTCTGCATAGTTAACTAGAATTACTGGGTCCAAAGATGGGAACATTTTTATGATTGTTGAAACATTGCCAACTTGCTTACTAAATGAGGTTTACCATATTGCATGGCCGCTCATTATATTGGAGTATACCTTTCAGTACATCCTATCACGCTCTTGTATTGTAGGATGTTTGGTCATCAGTTTATCTCATTTGATCTCAACTACCCCAGAATTGGAGAGGGCTGACATTATTCAAGGCCCCAGCACCTTCAATTGATGATAATGAAAGGCAGGTGACAGAATGCTCAGCTTTTCAGGACCCCCTTCCTCCCTTTGATTCATACTAGTGTACCTTCTGAATAAATACATGTCTTTTCTCATAAAACTTAGTGTACTCTATAATTAATGTCAAAAATCTATAAAATCATTGTTTCTCTTTTTCATCTTACTCAGATACATGCAGATACCATGACCCAATTTGGACAAACTTGTTAAAATGAAGCAGTGAATCACCATTTAGATAAAAGAAGTGGTTGGAGTTAGGTAGACAGGAATATCCAACACTGGCAAATTCAGAGCATTGCCGCCCTGTCTATTGGGAAAGAGAAACCTTGGGTAATGCTCATGGTTTCTAAAGCAATATACAAAGAGTCTGGAGAAGTGACCAGTTTAAACCTCAGGAGATGAACACTTGACTAAAGAAGGCGGGTTATGAGTTGAGCTGCAGCTAACGCACAAAGCCAACAGACTGCAAGCACTAGCTGCTTCTGGGGACACCAAGGAGGCTTTGTGCGGTGACAAGATTTCCCGCCTTGGAAACTCACAGGGGCAATTCTACACTGGCCCCAAAGAGGTGCCAGGAGTAGGAATTGAGTTGATGACCATGCGTTTAGTGTTTCAGGACAGAAGGTAGACAGGTGGTTGTTTGTTGTTGTTTGTTTGTTTGTTTTTTAATCTTTGCATAGCTGCTAACAATTTCCAATAATAGAATTGAGCTTTATAAGGTGAAAAGTAACCTACAAGAGAATGTTTTTTCCCACATGAATACTGGGGGGGAAAGTGTTTATCTTTTTTCTTAAAAAGTATGACATATTTCAAAATCTGTTCAGAGATCCCAAATGATTTAAGATCAATGAATCAGATAGGAAGGTTTAGAAATAAACTTGTCAAAGTTTATTTGTAAGTGGAGTCATTAGAAATCCTTGTGACATATTAGGAAGTGACATCATTTATATCAAAAGTGGGTCCAACATTGCTTTCCCAAATTGCTTTCCCAAATTACTTTCCCATTGCTAGAATTCTTTTCAGGAGCTCTGGTGGTGTAGTGGGTGAGTTATGTGAAAGGCTGCTAACTGCAAGGCCATCAGTTTGAAACCACCGGCTACTTCATGCGACAGAGGAGGCTTTCTATTCCACAGCCTCAGAGGCCACGGGGCAGTTCTGCTCTGCCCTGTAGGCTGCTGGGAGGCCAGATCTGGCAGTGAGCTGGTTTGCGTTTGAGGATTCTTTTAAAAACCAGAACAGACAAGATGGGGAAGGAGAGATGTGCGTATTCTGAGACTTGGAAACAATTCAAAGCCCCCTTCACCTTCGTTCTGCTCTTCTGTCACAGTATCAGATCCCAAATAGTGCTCAGGAGACAAAAATGCTCTTTGAAGACACCTTTCAGGAGTTGCCAGTCCGTGTGACAAGAAATAGCTACTTTAAATATCAGGTAGGTGAATGGTGCCAATGGTTGACATGCTCAGTTGCCATCACAAAAATTGGCACTTGGAGTTTACCCAGAGGCACCTCAAAAGAAAGGCATGGTGACCCACTTCTGAGCAACATCAGCCATTGAAGGCCCCACGGAGCACAGGTCCACTCTACCTCCCAGGGGCCACCAGGGTCAGACAGCAAAACGGGTGGTGGTTATGCATGGCGGACAGCTCTTCGAGGAACTCTGAGGTACATCTCAGCATTATTCTGTTTGTTTTGTTTTTTATAGTGGGCTATTTCTGCATCTTGAAAGGAAGGTAAAATAAAGAATTTTGGAACAGATGGACTCCTGTCACTTTCTATGAACTAAAGGAATTCAATGTCTCTTTTGGTAAGTTTTTGTTAACATAGGTCCAATTGTGTGTCATTACATACATAGTTCTAACTCATGGCACAACAGAATAAAACACTGCCCTGTCCTGTGCCAGAACAATCACAGTTGTTCTCCGATATTCGTGCAGAAGACAAAGGCGTGTTCTGATAGAATGTTCTTAAGCTCTGTGTGGTTGTTTTGACCTCAAGGACCTCGATTCAGAAGTAAACTGTCATTGAGATTTTGTGTCTTTCAAAAAAGACCTTATCTGCTTTTGGGGTAGACTTGTCATTCTATTCATTTGCCCTTTTTCCTCATCTGTGTGCTGTGCCTTCATGCAGTTAGCGCTGAGCTCTCCTTTAAATCTCTCAGAAGTTCCTTTGGGAAATATCGGTCTCACTAAAGGAAAACAGAAATAACATTCGAAATAAGTTATCTGGTTCTTTTTTAAAGCAAGTATCACAATAAAGCGAGTTATGCATTTTTATTTCCCAGTGTATATAATGGTTATGTTTACACTGCGCTGTAGTCTCCATCGCAATAGTGATTCACAGGAAGAGTGTTGCTTGTGGGGATTACAATCAATGTCATGACACAAAATGTGTATAGATTACTGACTGGAAAACCAGTTTGCTCTGTAAACCTTCAGTCAAATCACAATAAAAGGTGTGTGTGTGTGTGTGTGTGTGTGTGTGTGTGTGTTTAATGTTCGAAGTATAAAATTTTTTTAAATGTTATCTGAGGATCAAAATAAAATTATTACAATGAGTACAGAATAATATATTCAGCACTTAGCTAAATATTCAGAAGAAAACATCAAAGATGATGAGAGAGTTAAAAATTAACCCCAGCCGGGAAAATGAATTGTCATTATGACTTCATAGAAAAGAGGGCAAAGATCAGGGACAGCACCAAGTAAAATGATAACATATAAGAAGTTTGTTCTCTGCACACCCAACTCCGTTTCCCTTCTGCTACATGTGGAATAAGTCCTTCCACTGCATGGTCCCACCCCAAACCACACTCACCGCCTTTGAGTCAATTTTGACTCATAGTGACCGTTACACAGAGATTTACAACACAGGTTGTAAATCTTTATGAGAGCAAATAGCCTCAACTTTCTCCCATGGAGTGATTGGTAGATTTGAACCGTGGATGTTGTGGCTAGTATTCCATTCCAGCGCTTACCCAGCAGCATCACCAGGGTCCCTGCCATTGCATGGCAGTATATGTTGCCCCTTTCCTTGGCTCCCCACCCTAGTCACCAAGCTTCCACACCATCCCTTCACTTACTTAATGCTTTTCTCAATTTCCAGAACTGTTTCTGCACTTCACGAACAGAAATTGAATCACTGAAACCTGAAAAGCTGTCTGAAACCAGCATCCATCAATACTTGGTAAGAAAATGGTTCTGTAAAAGTAATGATTCTCCTTCGCCTTTTCCAATGCCATTAACTCCTGGTCGCCTGCAGATCTCTCTGTGGTGGCGTTTACTGTTTCTTCTTTCTGTACTCATTCTTTTCTCTGAGTGTCTTTAATTAGTCCATCTTTTCCGTCTAATCTTGCTCTCGCTGAGTAAGCAGTTCCACCAGTTCCTGTGGCTGTAGTTGCTGGGATTTCAGATTGCCCGGTAGCTTCCCCGATGTTCCTTTAGGCCACGCAGGGGCCTGGGGGCACACAAGACTGATGAGTCTCAAAATTTAACTGCACCCCAGACTTCTTCCTGGGCACTAGCCATGCCCAGAGCTTTTCTCATTAGCTTTTCAAAGGCATTTCTGTGTAGTTTGATTCAAACACCAATCTTTGAAACCCCACTCACCCATTGCATTTTCTGCCTCCCCTCATGAAAAGCTATCTATTAAACTGTAAATGTTGGAGCAAGCTTTACTGTGCTTCTACCACACATCTCATTATATACCAAGATGTAGGCATCTGTCTCTGAAACCCCCTCGAGCCCATTTCTTCCTTTACACTTCTCTGCTACTACTCAAGTCTTGGACAACTGCAGGCAGATTGGCCGCCTCTAATCCTCTAGACCAGCGGTTCTCAACCTGTGGGGGCCGAGACCCCTTTGGGGGTCAAACGACCCTTTCACAGGGGTCGCCCGATTCATAACAGTAGCAAAATTACAGTTATGAAGTAGCAACGAAACTAATTTTATGGTTTGGGGGGGGGCGGCGTCACCACATGAACTGTATTAAAGTGTCGCAGCATTAGGAAGGTTGAGAACCACTGCTCTAGACACACCTAACAGTCGTCCCCTATCACTCAGATCACTTTTCAGCACTGCTACCGATACAGGTCACTTTCCAGCTTCAAAACTTCCACTGGCTTCCCAAAGCCTATGGGATCAAGCCTGAACTTCTGTATAGTGTTGTTAGTTGCTGTCAAATGGCATGGGATCTGATATTTTTAGTTTCATTTCTTGCCACAGCATCTTGGCATATAGTCTCCTTAGAGTGACATATTTTTCTTTCTGTCTCTTAAGTTTCTCTCTGTTCACTCCGCGTTGGCTCGCAGATCACATCTATGAAGCCTTTCCTCGTGTTCCTCTCAATGCATTTTGCCCCTCCTTATCTCAGACATTCCTGGAAAGGGCATTTACTTTTTGATTGATGCATAGGGCTCTCCAGCTGTTCCCTGGGTGCCCAGCGCATTCATCTTGATCTCTCTTGAGAGAACTCTGATACATGGTGATCATTAAACAATGTCTAAGCACCTTCCTGGGCATCAGTATTTCTCTAGGATACCCCTAAGCTCTACTGCGGTCCTGACTTTATACTAGAAAATGGAAACTGTCTTAAAAAAGTGCCTTATTTGCTATAAAATAAAATAAGCCCAGATAATCTCGCCTGTGGCTTATCGTGGTCCTGTCTTTATATTTGTCATTTTAAGTTTTCATTCATACTCATCCTCTGGAGTCTTGTAGGTACCAAGCCTTTTGTATGATGGGATGTAGTATCCTACCTGAGTTTTCATTCAAGTACTGCCCTGCAGTCTGAGACAGCATTCAGAGACACATCTGTTGTCATCTCCATCCTATGACCACGAGAGGGCCTAGAACCTGAGAAATTTCCATAGGTGCTGTTGTTGGAATCCTTCAAACCTCCAGCATTTTACAGAGTGAACTCTCCCACCTCTATGCAGCATTGGAGCTAGGGGACCATCTTAAGGGAAGGGAACAGGATCTTAGTGTGTAATGAAGTTGGCACCAGGCTGGGGATTATCAAAGCCTCCCTTGGCTCTCCTTAAACACCCCTAGTGAAGGCTGTGGGTGACAGTGGAAGCCCAAAATCCATGTGCAGGGTCCCCACACGGGTTACACCTCTGGTGAGTTTCCCCCGAGTGTAGTCAAGGGATGATTATGGCAGATGTAGGTAGGTGAAAATGTAATATCCTATCATTTGGTCTCCCTTTTAATCCATTTTAAAGTTGTTTCTGTTTTTAATATTTTCTGCTTTCCTTTTGATTCAGGTTTTTCTATGTTTTGTCTGGTCATTGTTGTTGGTTTTTTATTTGTTTGCTTCCTGTATGTTTTGTATGATTTTCTGTATATGAAATTCAGGATACGTAGCTAGTAACTGGATTGATCATTGCCTAGAGGCCTGGCAAGGCAAGATGGGAAATGGGGAGCTAACAACGATGAGTATGAGAAGAAAATGTTCTGAAATTGGTTGTAGTGATGATTACACAGCACTTCATAATATGATGGAATGAGTAAACTGTATGATTATGTGATATATGCCAATAAAACGATTGTTTAAAACCCACTATTTGTTGTCTTTTATTTGGACAACTTGTCATTCCCCGTTGACATAGAGTCTATAAACAGGATGCAACTTTGTAGTAAAGGGTGTTTGATAGACAGTCCAGGCTTTCCAAATGATTTGTATTGCCTGTGGTGTTAGAAGAATCCCTGGTGGCTCAGTGGTTAGAGTGCTTGGCTGTGAACCAAAAGGTCAGTGTTTCGGGGCCCCCAGCCACTCTGCAGAAGAAAGATGCAGCACACTGCTTCCATAAAGATTTGTGGAAAAACCTTGGAATCCCTGTGGGCCACTTCTGCCCCACCCCTGGGAACGCTGTGAATTGGAATTGACTCGATGGCAATGGGTTTACGGATTGTGACTTTGGAAATCCCCTGATTTTAATTTTCTTCATTAACTTTATAGAATGAAAGGCTATGGTGCTTAGGTTTGAGCCGCTCTTTTTAAACAATGCCGTTATCGCATTGTAGTTAACGTTCCCTAAAGGCCAGCGAGTCCTATTTCCCAGCCATACAGAATATTCTCTACAATATTGCACAGTTCCAAACTTTAAATAGGAAAACAAGAGCTCCAGCCGAGCAAATGGTTTCAAATCCTTTAGAAGGGTATGTTCCACCCACGTGAACGCCAGGCAGGATCTCTGCAAAAGCACCCCACACAGCCCCGTTTCCTGCTGTGGTGCTGCAGCCACCATTCCACGTCTGTTCCTCAGACTTGGGAGCAGGAACTGGGTTTCGTCAGCAAACCCAAAAGTGATTCCGGGTCTCTCAGCACAAGAACACAATTACCCAAGCTCCCCAGAATGGTGTATAAGCCCACGGTGTCAGAGGCCGGTTCCTTAGAGCGTGCCGTCAATCTGTTCTTTCCTTGGAGTAAAGTTCCAGGGGGAACCAACTCCGGATGAGCAGCGGTTTCCTTTCGAATGGAGAGCTAGCTGGGGGCAGCTTTCAGAGTCCTCGAAATTGACATCAGTGTGCTTGCCCTGTTTGCTGTAAGCAGACCTTCGTGGGCATCAAATGACTGCTTAGCGATCCCAAACTCAAAACAATGGAAGACACAGTTTAAAAGCGTGCCTCTAGGAAAATCTGATGGATATTTCACGCTCCAGCCGGAGAGCCGAGGCTCCCTCCTGGGCAGTGTGTGCACAGAGCTCTTCTTTCCACGTGCCCCGATGTTCTGTAGCTCCGGTGCATCTGGAGACCACCTCTGAGAAACCAGGCTGGTCTACGTAGCTGTTATCTTCCTGCTTCAAGGTCACAGCCATCGCACAGTATTCCCTCTAGGATCTTGACCACGGGCTCAGGGTGGCTTTCATTCAATTGGTTGGCTCTTGTCCTCATGAAAGTTCCAAGAACGTGTGTAATCTTTCCTCATGTTCAGGCTCCATCCCGTCCCCGATTCAGAGGGATCAGGCTGTGACTGTGGCTCGCAATACTGCTAGCTCACAGTGCTGTCATCCTTTCCCTTCACGCTACCTGGGGCAGTGACAAGACTCCTGCCATCTGTTGGTGCCTGTAAAAGTGTCCTTTGGGGCACTGGCGTCCCCCATGAGCGCCTTGTGACTATCGTGTTACCCGTGGTTTAGGCTGCCGTTTTGTCCTTTGCCTGTCTTAGTTCACTGCCACTGTGTTCTTGGCAGGAGTTTCATACACTTTAACCATTTTAGACACTTTTTTTCCCTTTCTGACCTCACTTCTGATTCTTCACAACTTGTGGAAAAATTCTTCAGCAATTTGAATACACTCTGGGCTGGGCAGGATTTCTCAAAGCTGAGCCCCCTGCCGTGTGTGTGTCATGGATGTGACCGGTGAGCACTTGAAGCGAGAGCACACGCAGGAGCTCGCTCACAGGCCGCCAGAGCTCTCCCTGCAGGACTGCCGTAGACACCCTAAGACCCAACAGCCTGTCTGCTCCTTCTAAAAGTGCTTACTGCAAATACGCTTTTCTCCTTGACACACTAAGCGTCTTCTCACATCAATCATTAAGAATTAGTAAGCACCTGTTAGGTCTTAAAATAGTCCTGGAAGCTCCCTTTTCACACCTTTCTAATGAGAGTGCAGTATCAGTATTGGGGTGGACAACCTCAAAAGCCCTACAGGGCACTTCTGTTCCGCCCTGTGGGGTCACCATGAGTCAGAACTGACTGGCAGCCAGTGGACTTGGCTTTGGCTTAGGGGACACTTATGTAGCCAACTAAGTCTGTTTATGCCTATTTTGTTTTTGTCTTTAAAACCCACAGGTTGAGGAGCCAGCCCTTTCCTGGTTGCCCCCATGTACTGGGGCCACCGAAGTGATAAATTCCACGAATGCTTCCCATTATGAACTGCAAGTGGAAATAGGTAAGACTCCTGGATTTCATAGCACTGCTCCCGCACTGGGAGAAATTGATAACAAAAGAACCATTTTTCAAGCAGGTATTTTTTTGTGTGTAATCTGCAACATGAAATATAATGTTAATTGTGCTAGTCAAATGGATCCATTAATTTTGTGTCCATCCTAAAATAGTAGCCCCAGTTTTTCTCCAGATTACTGTCTGGAATTTTTATTTTCCCACAAATATTTTAGAGGAAGAGACTCTTTTTACCACATGTAAATAAATTCAACTTAGAAAGGTGGTTCTGTTAATATCAACCCTCTCTCTCTCTCTCTCTCTCTCACACACACACACAGTTTCCTTCAATGAATGACTGAGGAAGGGGTTTCACAGGAGGTACACCACAGAGTTCCCGTGACTGTGGCTTAGCACAAGACAAAGGCCGTGGTGGAAGATACACCTGGGAAGGCTGTCTGAAGGGCTTCTCTGTCCGCCTCAATGCCTGTGGCAGGGATGATGACACTGGAGAGTCTGGGAGAAATGAAGATGAATTTCCTTTCAAAGATACAACTGACAGAATTTCATGACTGTGGAGCATGGGGGCAACCGGCGTTTATTAGCCAAACCAGTGACATCAAGTCAATTCTGACTCATAGCAACCCTGTATAGGTTTCCAAGGTTTGCAACTCTTTACGGGAGCAGACAGCCTCATCTTTTTCTCACATAGCAGCTGGTCAGTATGAACCACTGACCTGGCGGCTGGCAGTCCCAACACTTACCTAACAGCATGACCAGAGCTCCTTCCTTATGTGCATTTTAGTCGGGGTCACTCTAGCACAGGTGTTTAAACATGAACAACTAACACTACCAAGGGCTGGTGTGTGGAACAACTACGGCAGTTACACATCACCTGTAAGAGTACAAAGTGGCCTAGATACTTTCAGAGACAGTTTGGCCGCTCCTTAAAAAGTGAAGTATATGTTAACAGATGACCAAGTAATCTCACTTTTTAGGGTTTGCCTAGAGATGAACTTTTTTGCTCAGATATGAATATTCTGAATGCTGCCTCTCTGGTTGAGGTATACCTGTATAATGGATCCCTACACAACCATAAAAAGAAGTTTGTAATTCCTGAGCCCCAAAAGCATTATGCTCAGTGAGAAAGAGGAGACACAATAGCCTAGATTCTTTATTATTCTATTTCTCTGACAGGCAAAGCTCCAGGGACCAAAAATCAGGTCAGATTGCTGAATAACACCCGATTGTGTGGAATATATCACATTTTGCGTATCAAGTCAGGGCTGTAGTGGCATCTTGCTGTGGTTTTCATGTGTATTTCTTTATGTTGAGCATCTTTTCATGCGATTCGTAGCTAGGCTATGCTGATATCGCCTTATACATTCAATCTTCTGCCTATTTTTTTACTAGATCAGTTCTCATCTTATTGTAAAGTGACGAGTTCTTTATATTGTTTGTATAGAATTTTTTGCTCAGATATAAATATTGTAAATGCTTTCTCTCTGGCTTCTGTTTTCATTTTCTCAACATCTTTTAGAGAGTAGAACTTATAAATTTTGATCAATATATTCTCATATGCTTACTAACATGAGTTGTATACCTGATTACAGGAAGAGGATTCGACAACTTGACTTTTGTCTATCTTGCAAGGCATACCCCTACAGGAACTCTCGTGACGATAAAACTTACCAACCTGGAAAACTGCACTGAAGAACGCCTGAAAGCTTTACAGGTAGCAAGGAAAAACAAAGATATATTTGAGATAACATCTATTTGAGAGACTGTACCTTAACTATTTGGGGGCCCAGATTCTTCATGATTCTTTCTATTAGCAAAAGGCAGATTTCTTCTTCCTAATCAACATGCAGTTACAGAAGCCAAAAGATGCTTGGATGTCAAGTCTATTAAAAGGACATATGCATTTGAATTTTAAGTACCTATTAATATTGCATTTAAAACTATTATTAATTTCTTCCAGTAATTAATATATTCAGAATGCTAGTCTGGATATTCATAATATTTTTAATCACACCAATCACCAGGTCATATAGGGAAAATACAAAAATAAAAGCAAACATTTTTCTTTTTCATCCAATTAAGCAAAATTAACTTTAAAATTGCTAAATTGTTTACCCTAATTGCATGTTAAGAAGATTATAATGCCATTTTCCTTTTTGCTATAAAGAAGGGAAGACTTGTTTAAACATTGCACAATTTTGCAAATACTTAAACAAGGATGAATCCTAAAGTATCACAACTAGCGTTGCAGTTCCCAGATGCACAAGTTTATTCCGAACGAAGCGTGTTTAAACATGTCTCTGTGATCAGTGGATGAGGACAGGCAAATCCTCTCAGTGGTACTCTGGTCTGTTCCATTAGAGTGGCTGAAGAAGTGTGCGCTACAAGGACAATGTTAGGTGAAGATCAGGTATCTCAAGAGCTAACCTCTCTGTTGGTCTTAAGTAAGTCAAAGATAATGAAGATTTAGTCCAGGGAGGTCTTTTGACATTTATCAATATGATCCAGAGGGTGAGGCACTATCACAACAGTGACTTGGGAGGTGTTTTGTTGGATCAGTAAAATTCAAGACAGAGAGGTCAGCTCAGAAGGTTATGGTAATTACTAGGAAGACATTTGAAGAAAATTGAAAACTGCATTGGTGAGAAAAGGCCAAGAAAGTTGTGTTTTTTATTTTTATTCCAGGACAGCACATCTGCTCATTCTTGGAGGGTAGCAAGGCCTATCCTATGAAAATTTCTTTGGGAAACCTTACTCCTCCCACCCGACAATCCTGATTTTTGTCCTTCAGCCTTCTTAGGTCTCCCAAACTCAAACAATAGGGAAAAGAAACAAGAGTTGAGTCTCTCAGTGATGCCTAAACTGCCAATTTGGTGTGGCATAAATCAGTACAGAATTCTTTGGAGAAGGGTCAGAAAGATGGACCTTCAGAGGTGTATAGAACTAGAGGTGTATAGAACTAGAGGTGTATAGAACTAGAGGTGTATAGACCTAGAGG